AAAATGAGCATTGTTTTCGTTGTGAGGTATTTATGATAAAACATAATGAGTGAAATTTAAAAAACATGTTATTTTTAAGATAAAAACTTCTGAACAGATAAAAATAGTTTTTTTTTAGGCATATATAGAACATTAAAAAACACAAAGGTTTTTTTTTTTGAATGTATAATTTAATATTAGAAGTATGAAATATGATAAGTCCTTTACCATCACCGATAATTGATCAATACCAAGATAAAGTTCTAAACTTGTCTTATTTACAATATCAAGATTGAAATGTTGATTTGCACTTGTGTTTAGAAACCAATCAATAGAACTTGCTGTGGAAATATAGCTAAGAGGTTGGTTGGTATTAGGTTGTAACATGTGACTATGTAGTTAGGAATGCTGTTGAGCCGAGTGACAGAAAACACACCATAGTTAGCACCTAAAAGACTATGTATTAGACCACTAATTTGATAAAAGAGAACAATTACATTGCTACCAACAGTGTTATTACTAGTTGCTATTGTTAGGACCACTATTTCCACTGTAAGAACTATTACCACCGTTAAAATTTTTGTTATTGCCTTTTTTTAGTCAGCCACTACTGAAACTACCCCTACCACAATGATAATTATAGCTGCTATTATGAAAACCATAGAACTGTTCATAAGACAAGGAAAACTAATGTTGGGCAATAAAAGTTGAAGGGGTGTTGAGCTAGTGTAGGTAGTAGTAGAGTAGTAGCAGAGCTTTTAAAGGATTGAAAGGAACTCTTAAAAAAAAACTTATTGGCAAGGAGGTGACTATAGAGATCAATATAGGAAAGAGAGCAAACCTTGGTGGATAAAATGGTCACCAAGTCCTTGAATTCACCATGAAATCCGTGAAACAAATATAAGTTGAAATCTTGTGACTTAGGTCATTAGACCCGAAGCATATGCATTAAAAAATCACGAACTCAATTCCTAACAAATCAAATGTTAAAGGATGAAATCGAAAAAAAAATCAGTTATACAAAATAATCTAAATTAAAAATTGACAATTAAAAGAACGAGGATAAAAATAAAAATAAAAATAAATAAATTAGAGGGCAACTAGAATTTTTTGATTAAATGATGAAATTGAAAAGAAAAATAACTTTAACAAAAAAACAAAAAAATCAAAATAATAAGGAGCACATTGGAAAAAATAATATGTCATAAATTTGGATTAAAAGATGAAATTGAAAACAAATAAAATTTTTAGAAAACAGCCAAGAAGAAAAAAAATCAAAAAAATAAGTGCTAAATTAAAATATAATATGACAAGTTAGGATTGAAGAATGAAATGAAAAACAAATAAAACTTTTATAGAAGGATAAAAAACAAAAAATATAAATTAAAAGATGAAGAATCATTGTTTAAATATCAACAAAAAAGAGGAGCAATTAGAATTTTCCAAGGGGAGGAGATGGAAAAAAAAATTATAGAAGAAATCTTGGCTGATGAGAAATTGCTCCACCATTACTACGACACATCACCTTAACTATAAAGAGAATGTGGTGGTGTATCAAACGACATGACTGAAGAGTATTTTTAACTATTAAGAGATGTTATACGCACTATTTTAATTGTGTTAATACCCTCCGTTCATTAACATATGTGGCAACAGCTTTTTAATTTAAATAATATTTAATACATATTAAAAAATTAAATTGTTTTTTATTTACTTGATAATAAAAAAAACAAAACAAAATAAAAAAAACCTTTTTACACAAATAAAAAAAACAAAACAAAATAAAAAAAGCCTTTTTACACAAGTTTTTATATATATATATATATACACACACACATACACACTTTAAAGAGTAAATTTATTATTTTAGTGATAATCATCCCAGATCAATCTTTTAATCATCAATAAGGCATGCAAAAGCATAAAATTATCCCCAAGTCCAAGAAAACTGGATTGCTTTAGAAAGGGCAAAACATTAAAAACATTACTCCAGCTAATAATGTTTTCACTTATTGTCTATTGTGTTTGCACTTTGTATTTTAACTTTTGTTAATTGGACCTTGTTTTTACTCGAACAATTTAACCATAACCAGATGATGTCATCACCTAACTCAAGCGTACCCCATATTAAACAATTTTAATATTATTTTATAAATGTGAACATGTGAACATATTTAATTATCTTTCTCTTAGCGTAGCATTGTTATGCTTAGTTGAGAATTTATTTAAAATATATTTAATAGGTGTATTTAAGATCAAATTAAATATAAAATATTAACATCTCTAAAACCAAACCAAATGTAAATAAATAAAAAAATTAATCTTAAAAAAAAATTATCAATAAAATTTTTCAAATCCAAATCTTCAATCCCACAGTACGAGATTACAAGATATATTTTTTTATAGCCCTTCTTATGCCAACACTTTTACAGGGGAGAGACCAAAGTATACGAACTTCGAGATTAAACCATATTCGCTTGCTTGGCTCAATATTTGGATTTTACCACACAAAAAATAATAATCTGATTTTAAAGGAATAATGTAGGGTTTTTCTTTGTATTTTATAATGTATAGTCAAGGGTTAAAACAACGAGAAAGGACTAATTAGACCTTGATCGGCAGTGCAATTTCTTAATAAGGTGGTGTTAGAATTACTGGAGATTACTTGTATTAAAATTATTTGCACATAGTGATATATATAATTAGCTTCAAGGATAAATAATATAATCCTCCATATCAATGTTCTTCATTCTATTTCTGCTGGAAGTTTATCATCAAAACATAAGAACGAGATTTTCATTGCTCTAATTACTTAGAACTTTTTTTTTTTCCAGATAATGGTGTGTGATTTGATTGTTTTATATTTTTAATATTGCTGCAATGCTTTGTTTTATATATACATAACAAGACTATAGTTCCAAACAATAGAGGAGGTTACAGTGATAAGGTGATAATAATGATAGCAACGAAGCTTTAATTTATTATTGCTGTGAAGATGGTTGAAGCAATTAGTTAGATAATGATGTTGGTGACGTACAACAAGGTAGTCAATTATGTGGAATATATTCACGAATCCTTCAAAATATTTCCAACAAAATCACGCCAGATTTGATCTTCATGTTTAAGAATAAAAATAAAAATAATTCGTCGAAAAAAGAAAAAAAAACCTCATTCGTCAAATCAGCAATAAAGATACACTGGAACTTTTGAGACAATCTTTTTTCGATTCGAATAGTTTGCTAGGTATAATCGGTTCAACAACACTTTTTGATGGGCGATGGTCATGTGGGACTCCTTCGTGAGATAAGGGAAAGGGGATAGGATGTTGAATTTGAGTTTTGCCTTCATTATGTCCGTCTATGAGGGAAAATAACAAAACCTAGAGATACCATTTGTTCATTTTACATCTAAGAAACCTAGTTTTATTGATATCATGATATTAATGCAGTGTTGATGTCGTTGTCGGGTATATACACCAAAAGCGTGTTTGGTATCGTAATAACAGTTATTTTTTAAAGTATTTTTTTAATTTATAAATAAATAAAAATAATATCATTTTTAATTTTTAAAATTTATTTTAAATATGTATAGATCAACATAATCTAAAAACACCATTAAAAAAACAATTAATATATCGAGAAAAATAATTACTTTGATAGGCACGAGTCAACTCTTCGAACGGCAATGGTCTCTCATTTGTCGAGACCAGACAGAGTAATTAAACATATTGCAACAAGAACTGACAAACATTTGGTTAAATAATTTGTAGGAGGAATCTCAGAGCGTGCGATGTGGATTTTTCAATTTAGGAAGACGGACGGTTCAAGATCGTTCGCTTCATAAACTAACCACCCCTCATGTGCGACCACAAAAATCAAAGGCAGAAAAGATTGAAAATCATGGCAAGTCAAAGATGGAATGGTCAAATTACGCGTCAATTAGAAGTAAGCCCATGGAGCTTGACGCTCACACGCTTTCACATAGCGTTGTTAACAAAATACAATTAGAGGGAGACAAACAGCCGCTACCCAGGGTGGCCCAGCCTCCTCCCCCCGCCTAATGGAAGCCACTTCTCTGCTCTTGTTTTCTCTTGTTCCTCCGAGCGCACGCCCTTTATCTGCTGATGTGGATTTATTCTTTCTTTCTTTTTTTCTGCTCGACTTTAAGATTTCCTAGAAACGATTAATATTCTAATTATTTACAGATTTAGAGTTTGTAAAAGAAAAACTGAGACTTTCTATTTAGATGTAACATCTCTCTGTTTAATTAGAGCTTTTAAATTGAATTTAGAAAGCACATTTCATAAATTCTTCATAACTTTTGATAAAAAAGGTGAAAAATATAATTTTTATTTTTAACAAAGTAAAAAATTATTTTTTTATCCTTATATTTAGTTAGTGTCATGAATTTAATCTTTATTATAAATATAATATAAAGTTTTTTTTAATTTAACAACATAATTAATAATCTTTTCACGGAATGAAATAAAATTATTATATTATACAATGACTATTATAATTAAGTTATGAATTTGATTTTTTATATATGAAAAACAGCTATAATCTTGGTGTGTTCTTTTGGATAAAAAAAAATCTGTCTTTATTCCTAACAAATGAAAATATTATTTATTTTTTTACTGAAAAAGAAAAGAAAGACAGAAAATGAAGATGAAAAATAGTTTCCATTGTTAAGCACACCCAGCTTAGTCTCTATTGCAGCAGTATTTTCTGTCCGACCTTCGCACTGGATGGCATGATAGCGAAGAAGTGTGCCTTTATTTTCCCCTACAATATTATTCGAAACTGGGATCAAAATCGTGAGAGTTAATCTTTCATAAGAAATTTAATCTGAAGACATATATCTGCCATAAAATAAATAAATTAAAAAGAAATAATAATTAAAAAAAAAAAAAAACATGGTGGACTGGCACACGTATCAAAGTCGATGTCTCCTATATATGCTCGTTGATCTCTATTTAAATCAAGTACATGAAATTAACCGAAAGTGTCAACCTAGTCTTAGATTATAATATTAATTACCTATCCCTCGCTCTCCGCCACTCCTCTCTTATGTATAAGAGGTAGCGCCTCGGCCATTATCGATCATACCTTCGAGCTTCAAATTCTGGATTGATACCTTCCTTCCTTCCTTCCTTCCTTCATTCCCTACTTATAAGCAGGAATGGTAGTTCCTTCTCCAATTACTCCAGCACGAACCAAAAAAACGAAGGCCTTTGGAATTCCTACTGTTGATCTCTCTCTTGATAGGTCAAACGTATCGAAACTGATCGTAAGAGCATGTGAAGAATATGGATTCTTCAAAGTTACAAATCATGGGGTCAGTAACGGGGTCATAACCAGAATGGAGGAGGAAGCTGCTCATTTTTTCTCAAAACCAGCCACGGAAAAGCACCGAGCTGGACCTGCTAGTCCTTTTGGCTATGGCTGCAAAAATATTGGCTGCAATGGTGACATGGGCGAGCTTGAATATCTTCTCCTCCACACCAATCCTCTCTCCGTCTTTGAAAGATCCAAAACCATCTCAAATGACCCTTCAGAATTCAGGTAATTTATACATGTTCCGAATATCTTCTCTAATATTCACGTCATCGATCAATCATTCAGCAGTAATGTTTGGTATCATATTTATATATATTTATGTTGTTCTTATGTGGATCGTAAATCATGAAAATGCATTACACATATATTCATTAATGACAGGATGATCAATTGCTGGGTAGGGAAGAAGGTTTTTAGCTTTCTGTTTCAACAATGTGGTACAGGGTCCCTGGGTTTATGCTTAGTTTGTGGTGTGCTTGATTCATTTTCAACGGGTTTTTTTATTGTATAATTTAATATTGTATGATAACGGTTGCACCATTTTTAAACTCTAGTCTTTAAATGGAACCTTGGGACGGTGGGCAAGGGAATTCAATTATGAAAATGAAACGGTGGAATATTGTTTATTGCAAATGCTTGGTATCCTAGAAAAAGACATCTTTCCTTTATCAACAAGAAATTATTACTTATTAAATATAAACATCAATAATAGACTTCCAATTTATATTTTTTCTATTAATTTAATATACCCAAAAGTTCCCGTTTACCTCATTAGCTATAGTTAATATATATGTTCATCAATTAGATAGATAGATAGATAGAATAATAGTTATTTTTTAAAGTATTTATTATTTAAAAATATTTTAGAATAATTTTTTTATTTTTAAATTTATTTTTGATATTAGCATATTAAAATGATCTAAAAATATATAAAAAAATATTAATTTTATTTAAAAAAATTTAACTATTCAGTAAATAACATTTAAAACGAAATTCCAAACAAGTTATAATAACCGGTTTCTTTGGCAAGCTTTGCCCACTCTAGTTGCTTTTTATTAATGAATATTTTCATTAAAAAAAAAAATCAATCATGAAAACAACCTGATTTCTTTCCGGTTCCCAAGTGGTTGATGCTTCCAACTTGTGATTGAAGGGAAACCATGCCTTAATTAGCTCATTGTTCTGTCAACAACTATTAGCCATATGACATGTTTCTTTATATATATGTATAATTGTGGGGCCTAAACCGGTCCAACTTGACTCCTAAAACAATCTTAGGAATTACGAAGAGTCAGCACATTGTTCCCACCTTTTCCTTTCTTGAACAGTAAGAGTATCTTGAATCATTTTTTATATATTAAAATCAAGTTTTCGTTTAATTAATTTTTAATTAAACTAATCATTCGCTCCCAACCATCGCATTATCCATGTTTTAATTTTCATAATTAAGAAGAATCACAGGATTCAACACACAGTAAGACTTCTATTTTTGTGTATTGATGTTTTCCTCTTCGATGCCTTCTTCTTCTTCTTCTTCACGAAACACATATGCTTGTAGAAAGCATGCAGGTGATTAGTGTCCTGCAACAGTCAATCTTGCATTATTGCACTGGCGAGAAGAGATCATAAGAATGAGGAGTTGTGATTAAAGAAATAAAGATTTCCTTATACAAATATCTTATGGATCTTGTCGTGCTCCAAATCGAGCCTACATTGAACCAATTACATTAGGCTAGAGATACACGACATTATCATTCTTGTGTGGGTTCTTGCTAGTAATTGCTACTATGATTTTAAGCTGCGTATTTTATTCTTTTTATTATATAAAAAGGAGAAAAATGGGAGCAATAATTTTATTCGTAATGAAAAAATATTCTGCAAAAGATTTTTTTTGTTTTTTGGTTGTGGGTGGTGAAATGCTAGTGTGCTTTTTCCCTTTTTCTTTGCTTGCTCAGTACTGGCATTGCGATTTATACAGCTGCGTGGTGAATGATTACATACAAGCGGTTAAGCAACTCGCATGTGAGATTCTTGATCTAGCGGCTGAGGGCTTGTGGGTCCCGGACAAATGTGCCTTCAGCAGGCTCATCAGAGATGTCCACAGCGATTCTGTTCTTAGACTTAATCACTACCCTGCATTCCAAGACATCACGGACTGGGACCCATCACCTAAAACAATTGGTTTTGGCGAGCACTCCGACCCTCAAATCTTGACCATCTTGCGATCCAACGACGTTGGGGGCCTCCAAATTTATTTGCGTGATGGCTTGTGGGTCCCCGTTCCTCCTGACCCCACCGGATTCTATGTGATCGTGGGGGATGCCTTCCAGGTTCGTAACGATCAGCCATTTTCTTGTGAAAATCATTTTGTGATTAGAATATTAGAAATTGATGGTGTAAACATATTTCATGAGGTGTAAGAATTCTAGTGGCTTGAGGTATAATGTTAATTAGTGAACTAAATTCTCTTTTACCATTATTTTTAAGGAAAGAAAACAAATGCTACCAAATCTCCTCAATTAGCTACTGTTGATAAAATAATCTTCCTAAACTTTGTGCTCCTCGTGGCATCATTTTTTAGGTTTTAACGAATGGGAGGTTTGAAAGCGTTAGACACAGGGTGCTGGCGAGCTCGGGGAAGCCAAGAATGTCGATGATGTATTTTGGGGCGCCACCCCTCAACGCATGGATCTCTCCGCCTCCACAGCTGGTCTTGCCACAAAATCCAAGCCTCTACAAACCCTTCACTTGGAGTGAATTCAAGAAAGCTGCGTATTCTCTGCGATTGAGAGATACGCGTCTTGACCTCTTCAAGATCCATGCCACAGAAAAAATCGCTTCTTGATTTAATTTACAAGATTTATATTAAATGTAATTGGCCTTCCGTATACAAAGGTTCCTTTCATTATTGTACTTGTTGGAGGGGATAGAAAGCATTAAGAGACAAAGAAAAGATAAAAAAGAAGAAGAAGAAGAAGAAGCTTTTGCTGCTGTAAATAGGTCCGACCGGGAGTTGAAGGATTATTCTATATATCTGGAAAGGCAGAGGGAGAGTTTTCTCTCTTCTCTTCCTTTTTACTTTCTTTCTCAAAGCACTTTGGTTCCTAGCATTTATTTAGTCGTACCGTCTTGTGAATTTTTTTTATATATTCTCCCTCTTGTTTTCTTTTAATTCTTGAATATATGTACCAAAAAACTGTCCACTTTCTTGCTAATATGGATCACAGATACATGTATAAAGAATATCACAACAAAAAGAAGAAAAAAAAAATAAAAAACACAATGATTTTATGTAGTATGATTGTGTCTACAACTATAGTCAACGCAAATATAGATTTTGGAGAACTTTCAAACCCAGAATTTCAAATACTCTCAATCCTCACAACACTATATAAATTTCTCTTGCTACCACTCTTTTAGCAAGAGAAGAGCATTCAAGATCATCCTTCAAAAAAAAAAAAATTACCTAGACCTAATCATGTGTTTATAGAAAGTATATCTTAATTCTAACATATAAAATTAAGATTAGTGTAATACTAACCCTCCAAAGATTCTTTTCCTAGGAAATAATTGTAAGTCTATAAGGTATCTATTATTTATTGTGAAGTCCATGTAAATAAGGTTTTGAATTCATGCCACATCTCAATAATCTTGAAACCTCCCACGTTACTCATTAGTTGCTCTAGGTTACAATATCAATGTGATTGAGTTTGAGCCATTTTCAAAAAATTATCTACAAAAATTAACACGTAAAATAAGACTCATTTGATATCCTTATATTTTTTTCATTTGAATGTATTTTTCATAACTCAATTTTAATCCCATAAATATATATAATCCCATATACATATACATATATTAAAAAAGCAATGATATATGAATTTGTTTTTCAACAAAGCATTTTCAACATAATTTGGCAATTCTTAGCCATTTTACGATTTTAAACCTTTTTGTTTATTATTTTATTTTAGAATTTTTTTTAAAAAATAATTTTTTAGAAAAAAATGAAAATCAAAGAAACAAAAAGTTTAGTGAGTATAGTAATAATTAAAGAAGAGATTAGGGACAAATATTAACATTTATAAGCCATTCCCCGGGCAACTTAAAGATAAAGGGATAAGGTGAGAAAAATGTGGAAGATTGTAAAATGTGATGAGTTAAGAGAGAATAAGGAATAAAAGAGGAAATATAAGGTAGGAATTAACAAGGGAATATTATGCAGTATAAAAAAAGGAGTGAATTGTAAAGAAACAAGGGATAAATTTATAGATAAAAAAAAAGGAAAAAGAAAGTGTGTACAACAAGACCTAAAAAAAAGAGAGAGAGTGTGAAGGGAAAAAAATTAGAAGAGAAAAAATACAAAAGAGAAAAGAAAAGAAAATCATGATGACCCTCGTTCTCTTGTTTCTCTTCATTATCAAAGTCATCCATCACTATCTTGTAGATCGTCACCATTACAATCACCAACACCATCAACGCTAGTTTTCCTTGTATCAACCAGCCTTCCTCCTTTACAACAACTTATTTTCTCCTATATTGAAAAGCTCCTCTCCTCCACTTTTCATCACCGATCAAACTCTTTATTGCTGAACATCATAGGAGTCATTAGTAAAAGAAAATCTAGTTGTAACAACCATTTTAAACAGATTTAAAAGCAGTTGAACCCGTGGTAGCAGCAAAAGCAACATAAGCAATAATGAAGAAAAAAAGCTAAAACTTCCAAAAATCCAATCTCCTCCCGCTAGTAGATGTGAACTCACCACTAGCTTAGAAGGGAAAACAAAGAAGCAATGTACTTTTTGTTGTAGCCGACGTATCTCCACCCTTCACTATTATGTGTAACTATGTGTTGCAACCTTTACAACTCAACTCATATATGTCTTTGCCACTTGTCACCGCTATTAGAATATTTTTAGCAGCTTTTGGTCACGCTAAACCTCTCTATTAGGTTGATTTCGAACCCCAAATGAATTTTGAATAAATTTCAACATGTTATTTAATAATTTATAAAATATTTGTTATTTGTTATTTAATGCAAATGATTGTGAAACACTTGAAGTTTTAGGGTTTATACCTTTATCTGTAAACCCTAGGGTATGAGGTTGACATGAAATTTTTTAAACATGGAATAATGGGTTAGGAGAATGGGTTATAATAAGTTTATCCAAGAAATAATGGCGTGGCCTCAATGTTGAAATATTTTTGTAGTTATATGTGTGTAAATATATATTTTTAAACAAAGAATAAAAACTGCCTTAACATGTTTTTATCAACTTAGCATAATATTTTGATCAAAGTTTAGTTTAAAATAGTTAGGTTAATATATCTCCTACTTTTTATGGATCAATGTAGGCTTTGTGCATGGTTTTCTTACCTTAAAATAAGTTCATTAAAGTACTTACGAGTTTTTATCAAGTCAACAATAAGCTTTGATTAAAATTAGGTTTTAATAGATAGGTCAATGAGTCTTTTAGTTTCAGAAATAAATATAGGTCTGCAATGCTTTTAATAAAAAAATAAAAAAAAAGACTAAAAACAATCATCAAGTTACAAGACTCCTGATTCAGGGCTTGATGTTAATTCAACAAACATCCATCTATAATAAATAACTTGTCAATAAAATAAAAAATTAATTTAAATAGTAAATGGCATGTGTAAAATAAATTTAGGAAAAAACACATAATAAATATAATATTTTCTTATAAAGCATAACCAAACACTTACTCAAATCTCTAGAATCAATACATATTTTAGAATTATTAGTCTACTTAAAGAATTAGGTAGCAACTCCAAAAATAATGTAGACTCTTGAAATTAAATTTAATGAATTAATTGAATAACTATTATAAATTAGTTTTAGACTTTATTATTTGAGGGTATAAAATTGCATTGTAAGGTACATTCTTATATGTTAAAGATACAAAGTAAGAAATAAATGTAATGTTAAAATTTAGGCTCTAGAATAGTTAAGATTTAACTCAATAAGATAGAGACTTCCACATAAAAAGAGACTTGTCTTGAACCCTGGATAAACCAACATATAGAAATATGACCTAGAAAAACAATCAATCAACAACACTGCTTACTATAGGTAGGTTATACTAATGGTAATGTGTCTTTCTCTTTCATAACCAGTCTTTTTATCTAGATTTTTAAAGACCATTAGGCTTTCTAATGACTATGATACTAGGTGGCAGAGATTTCTTCAAAATTATAATTTTATGATTAATCCTAAACTCCTTCAATCCAAGAGGAAAACCCATCATTCGATGATGTGTACGCCATGATAGTTTTGATTCTTGATTTGGTTTTAAAATTTAGTTTTCAACATGGTGAGTTAAGACATCAAATTTCTAAGTGTCATATATTAGATAGTTGTATAGGTAAAAATTTATTGTTAGAAAAACTTTATAAAAAAAAGTAGAGGATATTTCTTATGATGGTTCATATGGTAGTGAAAAGATTTTCTAAGATGATGGTGGTGCTACCTTAATCATCTAAAATATTTTTCTTAGTATAATTGATTTAATGGAGGATTGACTACAAACTAGTATGTTTCAATCAACTTGCACCATGAAGAACAAGACATGTAATCTAATCATCGACAATGGTAATTGTAAGAATATGGAGTTGGCTGAGACAGTTGAGAAGTTACATGTCAAGTTAAGAAAACATTCTAGGCCTTACAAACTAAATTAGTTATACTAAAAAAATAAAGTAATATGAACAAATGATATCTTAGTTTATTTTCTATAAGTAAGAGATTTTTAATGGTGTTTGGTGTGAAGTGGTTTCTATGGATGTGTGTGATCTAATGTTAGGTAATCATGGAAAAATTCTATATTGATTTGTTATTTATGAGTAAGATATATTTTAATGATGTTCAGTGTGATGTGATTTCTATAAATATGTGTCATCTAATATTAGGTAAGCCATGATAATATAACAGAAATATCATACATGATAGACACTATAATATGTATACACCTAGGATAAAAAGGAAGTGTATAATGTTGACATCTAAGAGAGACGGGACAATTATTTATAGCAAGGGTAAAAATATATTGTTTTTATAATAGTTTTTGGAGAAGAAAAAGAAGAAGGATATTGTAGAGAATCACAATAATGTGAGAAAAAACACAATATAGAATAAGCCATTAACAATTATTAATGATTATGTAAAAAATTAGAAGTGTTTGGGAGTTGATTCCCGACATACTTTATATAAGTTGGTTAGCTATACAATATGAGTAGGCTAGATGTCAATGGAGTGCAATGTTATTAACATAACTTTTAATCGTCGACAATAATGATAGTGAAGGTAGATGGATAGCTAGAATTTAAGTATAAGTTCTCTCAAATCTAGAGAGACTAATGTAAGAGATTTTTTTTTAATGCAATATTATTTTAATAGGAATAAATTTTGATTCGATATTTGAATTGGGTTGGAAATTTTTCAAGACATTCTAAAGGTTCGTTTTCAATAGGGTTAAGATTTTATAGCCATCCCAAATCAAGAAGCTTTTTAAATAAGATGTAGAAGTTACTATTTGAAATTTGTAATATTTTTCTATTTGATTTATAATATTTTTTATTTGGTTTAGAATTATTTTCTTTCTAGTATAAAGCATCCTAGAAGAGCTATGATATAAAGTTTTTATTAAAGATATTATTTAGTAATAAAATTTCAAATTAGAATTTTTATATGATAATTATATTGGTCCAGAAATCATGTTATTTGTGCATCTTGTTTATCTTATGCTGTTTTCATTTACTTTATACTCTCCATTTTAAATTTGAAAAACAAAGAGGGTTGAAATTTAAAGTGGGGAATCTAGTAGCCAATTAAATGAATATTAGTTTTAGTGATTCTAATATGACAAACGAAGTTCTTGTGTGTCTTAAGCATCCCTATTTTGGTCCTTTTTAATGAAAATACTTTTAATGCTTTCAATTTTAAGATTTGTAAAATATAATATTTAAAAGCTAAAAAATGAAAAAAGAAGAAGAAGAAGCATCCTAATATAATTAGAACATAGTTCTAAAT